TCTTTGCAAATTCTGCTTATGGGCCTCCCACAACGAATCGGGTTTTTCTCCTAAGAGTCTTGCTAAGTACTAGTTAGGAAATTGTCCACATTATTACAAATGCTGTATTACGTATGAGAATAAAACATCGCCCTTTAAACAGGAGTGGATGTTATCACTCCCAATGTGCTTATATGTGTTTCCTGTGCTTAGATACAGCCCGGCAATAACAATACCACAATTACCAGAATGTATAATCTATAATGTGGCCCCGTGTAAATCACCACCCAGCTGACGGCGTCGCACACATCCTGCAGGATACCACCGCCACTGTGAATTGTTTCCGGTTAACGCTGTGCATCTGCAGGATGATTGCTGAGCCCTGCTCGGGCTGACTCCCCGCTCAGAACACTGCAAGTTATCTCCCGCTAGTAAGATCTAGGTATGGACACAGAGCTGAGGCGTGTTTGGTTCGTGAGCGCCTAAATGGGAAACCGGAGAAATGGATTTAGAGGAAAAACAGTTTTGATATTTTAAAAATATTGAGGGGATTTCCAGAAACGGTGCAAAAATCATTATAAATACTGCAAGGGAAAGTGTTCTGGATCTCAATTCAGTTGTTAAATTACTAAAATAATGCATACCTGGGATTTACATAAAGTGGAGACTTGGATGATCTCAGATGCTCTGTCATTCTCTTCAGAATAGAGAATAATTTCTTCTCTGTGTAAAATACCTGAAAAATAAACATTTTTGAAAGCGATTTTACAAAGTCAAAGAAAAAATGAAGTTCAAACTAAACCAGAAGTATGCAATTTTCATTGCAAGACACACTGCAGCCATACACTCAGAACAATCTTACAGGAACACTCTGACAATGTCTCTGTTGTGATTCAGTTAGTCCAAACTAACTGAACAGACTCAGAAATTAAATTTAGTTGACCTGTTCAGTGACTTTATATTTTTAGTTAGTTCTCTGATTCTGACTTTTCCAAAAAGATGTTAAAAAAAATACAAAGTTTTAAATTACTGGAAAGCACTTTAGGTTAAAATTTATAGATCTGATCCTTAAAAAAAAAAAAAAAGGAGGTGGCAGTTGTGAAATTTGACAACTTTTAGAACTGGACTCAACAAGAACTGGACTCTAATTCTCATTCTGCTTTATAACTGGGGGGACAAACCATCTTTCCTGAGTATATATAATTTCCACTGAGTCTCTTACAACCCACCAGAACTTTAGTATGTTTTAAAATAATAATATAGCAATATGGAGAGACATATTATGCAAACACTGTTATTCTTCTCATTCTGATACAGGCCTACCATACCAAAGAGAGATTCTAGCTGGAAGAAACAATCAATGCAGTGCTTGTCTGAAAGGTATTGTAAATTATCCCTTTTTCTTCCCGCTTTTGGTACAAAATAATGTGATAAATAAACATCTTAATTTTTCCATTGCAGAAGCTCACAGAGGGTATTTCTTGTGTTAACAAACATACCTGTATTGCAGAGGTCACTGAGGGGAGCAGGGCAGGTGTGCGAGAAGCAACCGTGGCCTTGTGGCCAAGGGTAGCTGAAGAACCAACACACATATTCAGGGAGAAATGGCCAAGCCCTTCTGCACTTTAGCTCTTCTGGGACACACAGGTCTGCTATAAAACAGTGCAGTCATTCAGACCCATTCAAAGAAATTTGTCCTGTAAGTTTTATTGCCTTTTCTGTACTGGGTGGTACATTTGACATCCTGCGTTCCCTGTTATTGCCTTTGACTTTCTCCAGTCTGATCTTGTGTTGAAAGATGCTCATGAACTTGATCACTTGTGGCTAATCACACTTTGGGATGGCTGCCTTTTTAACTATGATTGAAGGAAAAAATACTACCTGAATTTACCTGCATACATTAACCCAGCTGCTCTCACAGCAGGGCCCTCTGTAAAGCACTTCATACCCTTTGGAATTAAGTCAGCTGTACATTATCATAAGACAGAGAGCTTGGCTATCTCTTACTGTAGAAAAGCTTGGAAAATTAGGGTCTGATGTGCCACAGCCACACCAGGATAAATGCATGGAAGCTGAAGTTGTAGATGACTTATTCTTCTTGTCAGGATTCAGGCTGACTCCTGGGGTACTGCTGAAGTGATCTGCACATATATAGGACACATCCATGGGGCACAGCATGGATAATCCTGCTAGAACACACACAGCTCTTCATCAGTCCATCTGCTTAACCCTGAGCTGTCTCTTCGTTTTTGTACATGATTTGGGAAGGAAACAGGTCTGTGAGTGCTGCTCCTACTCAGCTTGCAAACCTGTGATATTATGCTTATGAAATAATTACTAATTCTTTAAAGGTGCAGATACTCCAGTTAGTTGCAAAACACAGGTAGAATTAGCAAGTTATATTTGTCTTATTTACTGCTAACTTCTTAGCTGTGGCACCACCTTGTGGACGTTACTACACGGAGTGAGGACTGCTGGAAATGAAAACAATGAAAACAGGCATTTTGGAAAAACAACTACAGTCACACGTGATTTGCTAAAGCAGAGCAAAATAACTAAATAAAATAAATTATTCCTAAAGATCCACTTATGAAATAAAATGTATAATAAATACTGTCATCAGGGTACTCAGCTGTCTTTGCAGCTTTTACCAACAACTCTCATGCACATCAGCCAAGAAGTGTGGCAGCCTTCAAAACTAATTTTGTTCCTTCTCAACTGACTAGCCAGCAGCACCTGAACCCCAGTTCTGCTCTTGCTGTATAAGTAGACATGACTTTTGCATCTATCCCAAGCAACAAGATCTGCAAAGTCAGAACCATAACACTGAACACATGGAGAAACACTTGGGTCCTGCTCCATAAATGTAAACTCAACAGTGGGGTTGGTGTCCAAGCTAAGCCAAAAGAAAAATAATCTCTGACAAAGATAAACTGGTGGATCTTTCAAATGCTCACTGAAACACAAACCAAACAAAAATAAATTTAAATTCCAGTCTGTTGGTCATTATATTCCCAGAACCTTTCACAGTTGAGGTAACAGGGTGTTCCTGTTATGAATACGCTATCTGCTGTACATCTCAAAAAGATGAAACAGCTTGTGCTATTAAATTTTTTTCTCTTGGGATATTCATACAGTAAATATTACAGTTATTTTACTGCTGCACTCAGTAATACCCTACTATAAGTGCACTGATAGGAAAAAATACAGGGCTTTCAAACTCTCAGTGATTATTCTTACAGATTGGCTGTTGTTTTCAATTTAATTTAATTATTTATTTCTGAAAAAACAAGGCATTGGCTACTCCTTATTCACACTGAGTGCAGAGATTCTCTTTCTCCTTAGGCACCATGTAATTCTATTCCCCATTGCAATCAGATGCGCACAGTGCAGACTTATTAATGGCCTTGGATGTATCTGGATGGAAGTTTTCATCCAGAAAATTGCAGGAGCAGTTACTGTAAACATGGGGTGAGTGACATAGAAGAGACTGGACCAAGTTTATTCTTATATTGAACTCAGTTTATCAAAGTATCTTATTCCTTTTTTTTTTTTTTTTTTTGAGCACATGAAAATGTTATTTTTGTGCCCATCAAATTCAGCTGATTTGCTTTTAGGAAAGAAGCTAATAAGCTGTGAGGCAAAAATAGCCTTATATCTCCATAATGGTATTTTCTCCAGAGACTTGGAACTCCCTTGAATATTTTAATTATCTCTTTCCTAAAAGTCGATGAAATAGCATGGCACTATATTAAAATCATTTTCTTTGGGTTTCTGCAAGAAATGACTTCTTGCTGAATTAGCATATCAACTGGGAAACCAATTTCCACAGCATCAGTGACCTTATGTCACTTGATGTATTACAGAAGTGAGAGAGGCAGTTTCAGAGGGCTGCAACAGTTTAAAATTATTCCCTATAAACCCACTTCTTGAACTGGCACAGGCAGGAAGCAAACCCCTGAAATTATGTTGCTAATCTACATGGCTTAGAGGCAGATTTCTTCTGCATTTTCAAATGTTGCACCCACTGGCACAGAACCGTGGTGGGTATTAATAGAAACTGGGATGGAACAGGCGGAAATTTGGTTGGGCTGGAGAAAATCCTGTGAGGGAAAGAACCAGTGAGGAAGCAGCAGGGTAAGACCAGGGGGTACACAGCCCTTGTGGGGGGGAACAGAGGGGGGAAACTACCTCAGGGAGAAGTGGAGAAAGGGACCAAACCTTGCATGGGACAGCTTCAGGGGGTCCTTTAACAAGAGGAGAATTTTGAGGTGACATTCAGAAAGTCTGCGAAAAAGGATGGATAAACCCGTCCTCCTCGAGCCCAAGTGCAGAACCAATCTGGTCTATAGAAAAACAAAGAGCACAAGTCTCTAGCTATCAAAAGACAAGGTAATATTATTATGTTATTTAATACTTTTTTTTTTTTTCAGGGAATGAAAGTTGCATAAGTTTCTATGCTTATTAGACATCAGATTTAATTTCCTTCATTACTGCGAAATGGGTGACTTGGAGCTAAGCCAGGCTTTGATAGATAAAATAGGTTATACATTTATAAAAGGAAAACTGTACAAGAACTGCTGCTAGAGGTGTCAATTTAAAGTAATACTGTCTCCACCAAAACCCCAGGCCCACGCAGAGACTATGGAAGAGCCTGAATCAGAGCAGATATGCTCTAAAAGCATTAAGTCAGGGAAAACTGGTGGCAGAAGACAGCAACTTATGACTAAGTGTATTTGACTTTCATGTGTTATTTTTGTCTGAAGTCTTAATTTTGTGGTTTTGGGATGGGCTCACCCATAGCAAAATTTGACATCTTCTAATAATTATCAGAGGTGCTATTTATACATTTATGCCTTGGTCTGTCAGACTCAGTGTGACTCCATGTATCGATAAAGAAACAGGTTATTTACTTACTGTTTGACTTGTTGAAGTGCAAAACAAAAATCAAATCAAATGCTTTATAATCTATTTATCTCCTAGTTCCTTGTGCAACGTTCCTCATTTTCTGGTTTTCCATTGTGCTCTTCTTTTTATTCTTAGAGGCAACATGAAAGACAAAAGGTTTTCAAAAGAAGGGGGATCTGGGAATTCTCAATACTGCAAGTTAGTTTGTTGGCATTTTCATGATGAAAAACCACAGGTGAATCTCCTTACATTATCTTTGCCTTTCCACATAAATCTTGTTTTTCTAAAACTATGAAAGTCCTTTTTGAATTTAATCTTTGTTCTTATTCTGAAGGTGCTGTAAGAATAGTTACAAATGCCATAGAATTTGCAATGGAATTACATATTTGATTTTACCTTGCTCAAATTATGATATTCTCAACTCCTTGAGACATAGTACGTGCTTATTACTGAATATGTCAAAATACATTTGAATTTATTAATATCAGTACCAGTAAGGAAAGAAACTGTGGAACAAATGAACAAATAAATTCTGCACCATAAAGCTCCAAATACTAATTTCTAGAGGAAGGTATGTGATAAGATTTTACAGAGCAAGATTAAACTAAAATATGTGTGCTCAGATAGAGAGAGGTTGTTACCATCTGCAGTCCAGCTGAAGTGAGAGAACATTATGGGTATTCAGTGTCATTAAGACCCAAGTCATGTCTATATTTGTATTTTTAAGTGAAATATCACTCTGATGAGACATTCAAAATACTTAGCAGCTCTCATTATGCCTTTTCTGGGCCTCAGCCATCTGGATGGATTTCTAGGGTCACAGCCTTTGCTCTCTTTAGGATTCCTACACAGTTGAGTTCCAGCTAAAACGCTGACAAGACATAAGCAAACTGTTTCAAATATTCACAGTCTGGAAGCACCTCTGGAGATCATCCAGTCTAAACCAGTCCAGCACAAAGCAGAATCACCCAGAGCAGGCTGCTCAGGAGCTCGCCTGTTGGATTTTGAGCATCTTTAATCACATCAAAACCCCTTGGGGCAGCCACATGACAGATGCTCTTCTTAATCATCTTCATGGCCCTTTCCTGCCCTCACTCCAGAATGTCCATGTCCATGTTGAGGGGAGCCCAGATCTGGGCACAGCAGTTCCAGTGAAGAATCACCAGGGCTGAGTAAAGGAGAATAATCACCTCCTTTGATCTCCTGGCAATACCTTTCCTAAAGCAGCCTAGAATGCTGTGGGCCCTCTTTTCCAAGACATTTATGTTTACAGATATAACAGAATTTTAAGGACATGACAAGTTTTATATTTCTAAGGTCTCCTATCTATCAGGGCAATACAAACTATATTATTCTGCTAATACATGTTTTATGTCAGTATCAGGGATTGTATTTATGTTCTCATTACATGCTTTTCCTAAATAACTGGCCCATTAAAACCAGTTGTTTGAGATGACTACACAGTGCCTTGTAAAAACATCTGTGCACAGATTGCTAAAGGTAACACTGAAAACTAAATGCAGATCAGGGCATCTTCGTAGGAATGAAGGCATCCTGGAAAGCTGCAATTCCAAAGAACAGGAATTTTCAATTTCATCATGTTGTTAGTGTTAGGATCTAAAGATAGCAGATAAATTACTATTATGTTTAACTCATAGATAACCTTTTGTAGCAGTAACATCCAGCTCACAAACTTCCACAGTTTCCAAAGGCACTCCACACTATATCAGAAGCCAAAAATCCAGTTGTCCCTAATGTATTCCTGAGAACCTTCCACTTCCTCTGCAGCTGCCACAGTGTAACTGTGGACAATCCACTTATGTATTGACAATACACAAATTTTCTGTGGAGAACAGTCCATAGATTTTCCAGTGGGTCCTCAGGCAGCCTAAAGCAATGAGACTTCTATTAGATTTGTTGTTTGTCTTGGCAAGGAAGAGAGCAACCTTGTTCTTGAAAAATCTACATTTAGTTCCCCATCTATAAACAATTTGCATCAGTTCTTCCATCTGCAGTATAAGTCTTTGTTTGGCAAACAATTTGCAGTGTTTCTTGTTATACATGTCAAATTGTTTCTGTTCTGCATGAGCTATGATGACTTAAAAGACGCAAGTTTCACGTGGTGAAAGGAGTTTGTTCCCTCTGAATCCAGTAGTACCTTTATTGCCCTGGTTGGCCCATTATTTCTTTGCACTTCTCATAGTCTGTGACTGCAGAAAACAGGAACAATTAGGTGAAGCCAAACTCCTTGCCATTACTGACATACCAGTACACGAGCCAATACACAGTCTAGCTAACGTCCTTTTACCTTCTGGAACAGTTTAAAGCAGGATGCAAAATATTCTTCCAAAAATATACAAAGTCATTTCCATCCATTTTCCTATAAAGCTATGCCAAAAGCCCTGGGAAAGCCTTTTGACTCCAGCCTACATGCTCAAAAGAAAACTTGGGAGACTGGCAAAAAACCCACAATGTAATTAGGACAATGCTGGGACTCAGATTAACATTATGAAAAGCAAACACCTTTCATACCACTCCCAGCTCTCACATATCCATGCTGAAACATCAAATGTTAAAATTCAGACACAAGGAAGCAGAGTAGTTCTTTCCAAAACAACACCAGGTTGGCCCAGGTGGCCACAACCTGCATGATTTTTTATAGACTGACTTTCAAACTGCCTCATAGCTGCCTCTTGGTCTCAGAGATGTTGAATATCTTTCTCAGCTTTTTCCAATGCAGACCAGATGTTCTATTGTGATAATTCTCTCATGGGCCTTTTCCATTTTGACTCTCCATCAGCTAGGGATCCAAAGAGACATTACTTGAAAAACAGGAACCATAAAAGAGCCAGGAACTTATAAATTAAAACATAAACATTAATTTGTTTTCCAAAATACAGATGTCTTTTGTCAGTTCAAGCCTTGATCTCTCCACCAGTTAAAGGCAGCAGTTGTTCTGTGGAGGCATGCACTGGAAATTAGCCAACGGGCATTAACTTTTGGTTCTGATTGAACTGAGGAAAATGTGAAACAGAAACACAGAATTAAAAGTTGTGATAGTATTTATTGTCTGATAACATTTTAAAATGGTCATGATGTTAATACCAGAAAAAGTGTCTTACCATAAAGAATGTAAATCACTGAAGCTTTTGGACAAGGCTTGGAAGAGCCTGGGGTTGTCTTTGATGGTGGCAGGGGCCTTTCCCTCTCCTTACCTCACTGACCTGTTAAGGCTCAGGGACCAGGATCCATCCCTGGGGAAGTGGATCCTGTGCTGGTGACCAGTGCAATGGGATTACAGCAGTGTGGCACCATCACAGCTCCAGAGGAAGGGGCTGGGCTGGAAGAGGAAGGGACACAAGGCAGACACAGCTTTAAAAGAACACTTTCATACATTACAAACATAAGTGCTCAAGGTTCAACTGCATATATTTTGTAATAACAAAGCACATCAAGCCTTGTTTTCAAAAGGCCACCGAAAATTCATCTTTTTTAATGCTAAATCACTTGATATATCAGTATTATTACAACATCTTTTAACATTTTTATATCAATAAAAATGTAACATGAGAATATTTAAAATAGCAGAAAGGCTAGAGGTAACCAAAGAAAACACCTATAAAAATGTGCATAATAAGGAGATAAGGATGAAAAGTTACTTTCTTTTTTTAACATGACCTACTTATGCACTAATTTTTTATCTTTAAAAAGTAGCAATTCACAAGTCACACCTCTTCATTCCCTTTCAAATCAATTTTATACACCTACACAATTCTTCTGACAGTGGATTGCTGCAGGTGTACACTTCAATTTGGAGTTTCCAGTCCTGCTGTGTCTTCTTGACAAAACCCATCAGTACAAGAGATTCATATCACTCTGCAACTTTTAGCAATTAACCCCTCTCTTTATGATACATTGCAGCTGAAAACTTCATCCTACAGATTAGCTGTACAACAGATTACTCTTCATGATGTAATCAGTTTCCTCTTCATACAGCCATATAAAAACAACTATAATTTCTAATACAATCTACTATAAAAAGTATCACTGAATGTTTGCCCTTGTCTTACACTCCTTCAGAGACTTCTGCTTTTACCAACACTGGCTTTTTCTAGAGCCTTCTGCTCAGAATAAGGCAATCATTTGTCCTTTATACCAAGGCTTGTCCTGTCTCTGTACTACAGTGAACTCACTTGGTGGGGCAGGGATTCTGAGCAATGATTATTCCCTCACTGGAATAAACCCTTGCTTTCCAACACCATTTTATTACAAGCCTTACATATTCATTTTCTTTTCCCAGGCTACAGCTTCTCCTCTAGATTTCACACCATACTAATATCTGTGTGCGCTCCTCTTGTTGAATTGTTTGTGCTTCATTATTTAAGTGCAGGGAATTTTAAGTAGCTGTTCCCACTTCAAATGCTTTTCCCTTGAGGGATGAACTACCCTCTGCTGTTCCCTGTCTCTTAAGGAAGAAACAACTTCCAGGGAAAGGCGATGCAAAAATCCTTTCATGGCTTCACTTCACACTAAGAAAGATTTCAATTTTGAATGCACATGCTGGTCCCAGCAGAATGTGCTCTAAGGAAAAAAAATTTGATTCCTGCATATGGTAGAATTCTAATATTCTCTTCCTTAAGGAGCAGACTGAGGTAAAAGTTGGGAATATGCGTTTTTCTCAAAGGTTTTGCCCTGGCTCACACAATTCCTCAAAGATGCCCTTTACCAAAGATGTAGAATTCTATTCCAAATGAGGCTATGAGAAACAAAAGGAGTCAGTCAGGAACGTCTCAGCATCAACAGACGTTTCTGTAAATTTTTAATAATATGTTGGTTATATGCATTCATAATTTTATCTGTTAATTTATTAGGAACAGTGACTTTTTTTGATCCATATATATTAAAATGAGTTGTGTTTATGAAATTCCCAGATTCCTTAAGGATGAAAATTTAAGTATTTCAATTCAATATGAAGTAAACAGTTATTCTAAACTTAAAGTGTAAAGCGGCAGATGTGCATTCACTTCTACAGATAATTTTTTAAGTAGTAAAATTCAGACTATTATTTGTAAGAATTAGGAGATTATTTCCTGGCTCTGTGAGCCAAACTAGATCACAAACTTTTGCTTCTTTTTTGATCCCCATGCTTAGGCAGACATCCACCTGTAGGAATAGCAACCTCTGTTCTCCTCCCAGCTAAGGGCTGGTACAGCACCCTATTCACGTGCCTTAATCCTTTTTACTCTTGTCATCCCTTCCAAGCAAGCCACTCCAACCAACATTCATTCCCTGGGTGCGTTGCCTTCACAGCAGAAGTGGTTACATTTTCAGCTGAAGGTGTTTCAGCAGGGAGGCACTTCTCCCAACCCTTCCCTAGATGTCGCCACAATTTCTGGCTACTTCGTTATAGCCCTAATTACTAAATGGAAAACTAGCATATAGGGTCCTGTTTTCTTCACATAGAAGGAAGAGAAAACTGTATCTACACAGAGTGACAAAAAGATATTTAATGTCACATTGAAACTTAAAAACAGCTTTTTAAACAGGCTTGTTTTCACACTCCTTTTACCTCCCTAACACTCTCACTACTCTCACTACCTTGGCTCATTGAGTCTGGAGCTACATGACCTTTTCCATTACTTTGTGCTGGAACAAACTATCTCCTCAAGGATATTTCCAAGGTTTCCAGATTCAGCTTTCATCCATACTTTGCTATTTTTTCCCTCTTAACAATTTTTTTCAAAGATTGCCTTTCTGCCCTCATATGATTTTGCTACCCAAAGACTCATTTATGCTACACAAATACTATAGGACACAATTCTGTGAGTTCAAGGCAGTATTCAGGCTTGTTAGTTTTAGCTGAATCATACTTAAAACTGAGTTCTGGGGAGAACATCCTTGTTTCCATCCCTGTTTATCACCTCTCTGTAATTCACAGTTTTCTTCCTGTGGAAATAGCCTTCAAAAAGCATATGCTGATTTCTACTTGTGAGTGAAGTTTCCATATTGTCCAGAAACACGAAGACTCTCCATTTGATTGCAAAGACCACCAAAACACCTTCAGATTTTTTTTAAGTATTTCAAATCTGTTGTGCTGAAGTAGTCATTGATTGGTTGTCCACAAGATGGGGCTTCTACAACAGAGATCTTTGTATCCAAATTTAAGATTCTGATGTAAAATCTATGAATGGCATCACAGTTGACAAGAACATCTTTTCAAATTTTGGCACAGGAACGGTCCTCACGAAAGGGACTGCACTCCTCATTTCTTGTGTCAAAAACAATAATCCCTCAGGAAATCAAAACAGCAGCAAGTGATTTTATCCTGTTCTTAACACTTGCACTGTGCTGGTGTACAGCTCATAAAGTCAGGGGCAACATGCACATTTCAATCAGCCCGTGTCTGGTAGAGGTTCTGTGTGGTCACAGTGTGTAATTTCTATAAATCTTCTTTAAACTGAAAGAGGGAACAGTTTGCTGTTAACCAACTGTAGGCATGCACTTCAAAATGAATTAAAAGAAAAATATTCTTAGACACAAAAATTTTGAAACATTAAAAAAAATAGCAATAGACTTACAGTACCTTCAGCTGTCTTGTTTCACTGTGTGGGAAGTGTTTGTTTAAACAGTATGTGATTTGTTCTTCTAAAAAAAAAGAAAAAAAAAAGCCCTCTTTCCTCTTTTGTCATATAAGTAAACAATCAAGATTTGAATGTCTTATAGGAATCTCCTAGCCAAAACCAGGACAGACTAAGATTGTACCTTCCTGTATTCCTTCTCATAATTCTAGAGACACCAGGCAGACTTAATTTATGATCATTCCTGTCTTCTGCATGATGTAGTTGTTTTCTAGAATTTTTTGCAGGAAACACAGTATTCCATCAAACCACAGAAGTGTTTGGGCATGCAAAAGCAAACACTGGTACAAATTTCCAGCCTGTCCCTCCCAGAGGAGGTTGTACACACACAGACTAATCAAAAAGTAAAACTGAATGTTAAGAAGGAGAAACATTTCTGGCCAGAAGGTAAAGTTGATTTCCCAGAGACACTCATTCACAATCATCTAATACTTTTGGTACAAAATCTTCAATGGTTCCTTCTCACATTCCTTCTGTTCAGTCTCCAGTAACTTGTCTGCTGCAATTCAGCTGGCTAAGCTGTCACAGACCAGACTTACAACAGGAAGTGCAAAACAGTACCCTTCAGAATAATCATCTGAAGAAGCATAAAATAAGAAAATCAGACTAGGCAGGAATTACACAGAGAAGGATAGGGAGTGACAGGTTCTACAAACTGCGGTCAGTGATGCATTATGAAAAAGGAAGGACACTAAGTTTGATAAACGGTCTTTTTGCACACCCTAAATAATACTCTCTTTACTCAACACTGAGGTTTTAACTGGAGTACTCTGTCCAGCTTACTGGAAAAGTGGACCAAAGAAAGAGTCTGCAGGAGAGTGAAACATATGGGAGATTTCCAAATCATGATCCATAAGGGAAGAATGAAACAAAGCACTGTAACAGTCTTCAGGGATCTAAAATTGCTGTAACAATACCAACAGGACACGTAATGAAGAGTTTGACTAGTAGCAAGCTTACATATGAGGTGAAAATGTGAAACTGGAATGGATTAGAACACAGTACCTGTAGCCATCATTCAGTATCCAGTTTCAACAGTTCTCTGTCAAGGAATGATGAAGACATAGATGATCTTGGACTAGGCAGAGTTGTCTGCCAGAGGGTCACACTCCACAGGTTCTCATTAATCCTTCCATGCATCATTTGATCACTGTTATTGCGGAAGACCTATAGCTACCTACAGGTAGAAAACAAAGATTTTAGGCTACAGGAAAAATGGTGAAAATCAGAGAAATAGGAAGATTTAGGAAAAGGTGAATAAGAGGTGTTTTAAGTTGTGCAGCAGAACGTATATTGATCCTGGACAAAGGATAAATTCTTCGATTCTGTTTCAAAGAGATACAAGAATTTTGGGTACTACCTTATTATTGCAGCAACCTGAATGCCCTGTGAAGAACAAAAAGACTCCAAGATAAATGTCAAATTTGGATGAAACAATATCATGTTCAACTTCATACCCCTCAGCAGTTGAGGTAATTCTGGCTTCCAGACCTGCTACTTCAAATATCTATCTTTTCCCACACCTTGGGCAGAATATCCCTGAGGCTGCAGTGACAATACCTGATGACTAACAACCTGGCCACTGGTGAACTCTGGCTAGAGCTCACTTCTTGCAGGTTCAGGAAGTACTTACAACAAAAAGTGAAGAAAAACCAACACTTCAAATAAAATTTAAAAATATTAAAATTTAAAAGATTAGTTAAAACACAGATTTCTGCATATTGACTATCCACTGCTTGTTGAATGCCAGCCCAGTATTCGAGTCCCAAAGCCTGTCAGGAGGAGATGTCAGCAAGTCACACGCCAGCTCAAACATAACAGTTATCCTGCAGGGCCTGTGATTTCTTAATATTCTGCTATTGGGAATGTCACCATCCATTCCACTTTCCCAATTTTTTACCTACTGACGTGTTTTCTTACTGGCATTTTCTAAGGGCATAAGGAAGAGTGAGAATCAAAACAACACCGCAGTAAAGCATCTGTTGTAAATCACCCGAGAGAAACAAAACATTATACACCAGGCAGGAACCTTTTGGGGTTATCTCCATATAATCTACTGCAACTAAAACCATTCCTGAGACACGTGACCTAATCCTCCTTTCAAAGCCTTCAGTAAATGAGATTCCCAGATAATCATTTTCAGTGCCAAACTACTCTTGCAGTTTGAAATAATTTCCTAATATCTACCTTAAATCTCCTACTCCAATTCCATCACCTCTTGCCCTAGACCCACTGAACACAAAGAAAAACTTTTGCCTTCTCTCTGCAGAGAAACATTTTACATTTTGGAAGATCATTACTGTTTTTGCCAACACTTTCCTTTTCTTTAAACTAAACAACCCCAATTCTTTCAGCCTTTCCTCTTAGATCATGTTTTATAGGTCTCTGATCATTCTTGAAGTTGAGAGACTGTGGTAACACACGGTACACAGAGAAAAAGGAAAATGAACTCCTACACAAAATTCACCAGGAAGCTGGGTGACAGAGGGTTTGTTTGAAGAGGTTACTTTTTTATGATGACTGTTTGCTTTGTTGTTTGGGTTTTTTTTAGTGCCAAAATACATGTCCTTTGTCTTCTTTGTGACATACAGTGTAGGTGCCCCAGTGCACGGAATAGGTAGGCATTATACTCCCTGCTGAAAAAAACATGCTGGATGTGGGGAAAACAGTTATTATGGAAGGCAAGTTATTTTTGCCAGTAATGGAAAACTTATCCTTACCAAGACAGTATCTTTGGGATAAATTAATTTAAGTGGTACTTGTGATACCAGGATAATTTAAGCAGAAGTTTAAGTAATTTTTAGAAACATGAGCAAAATCCTGCATCACAAAGTGCATTTCAGGGAAATATATTAGTTCCATAATTGCTTTCCAGAGCTGCATTCCCTCTCCCTCAGAAAACAATATACTGTTGTAATGTATACTGAGAAATGGTTGTATGGTTCAGCTAAAATGAACAAAACTAAAAACAATTCATGTGCATTTTAGAAGACGATCTGTTCTTTATAATAAGATAAATTAATTCCGTCATTCCCATAATCAGATCCACATATATAATAGAAGAATGTAATTTAATTCCATTCTTCAGAGGTATACAAAGTCTTTTTTTTTTTTTTTTTTCCCCAGAAAAAGGTTTTAAAACAGTACTGTGTCCCACTCACTAACATTACCCGAGCAAACAGCACTATCTCTGAACCTCTGGGTACCAGGGCATGGAGAGATCACTCAGAAGTTAACTGGGCTTCTGTATATGAATTGGAGAAACAATCTTATCCAGAAGAAAGATAAAGACATAATAAGAGATGGTAAGTGCCAGGAAACTAAGCTCAATGGAAAAAAAAGGAAGTGAAAAAAACTTTTCCATGCTGAGGACAAAAAAGGTCTTTCAAAAACTTTTGTTGAGCATGACACATTAAATATATCCAAAATGTTGCCCAACAATAACATGACCATGGATCACGTAAAACAATGTCATCAAAGGGTCTTTTATCTATAAATTAGGCAATTTATGATGTCAATTTCGCAGAGAAACTATTGGAGCTTTTTTGTTCTCAGCGGATTTTAGATTTTTAATTTGAAATGGATTTCTTAGTAAGATAGTTCATCATCTCTGCCTAGCTCATACAAGCCTTAGGAATATAGCATTATGTAACTTGTCTTTCCTCATATCAAAAACCTACAAAATACAACAAACTTTGCCTGCATACTTTAAAAACTTTTTTCTTGAACTTCCATTTTGTTTTGAAAAATAGATTTCACTTAGAAGATGCTGGCTGCTAAAAAGTGGTTAGAACTGACCACTTTCATGGCATTGTCATATCGAGATGTACCAGAACATGAACCCCGTACACTGGCAAATTTCAGACTATCCCCATTTCTATTCTGACAACAGATTACATCCAATTGTTTAAATGTTTACAGGTGAGAAAAAATTTCATTGACTTAGGTTGCCAGTTCTGTATTGATATTAGTTTGACACAAATTTTTGTATTTGCCTTCATCTTTTCTACCTGTAGTATCTATGCAGCCCTTAATCACTACATGAATCTTTCCTCCTCTATAGGATCATATTAAGGCTCTAGAAAACCAAGTCTGATAACTACTTGTTCCTAAGGAGAGGAAGTAAAAACCAGAGAGAACTGAAGTAATCAATTGAACTGTCCCATGGTTCCGCTAGAACAAAGAAACTGTGCTCATAAATCACATCCTCTGATTAAAAAAAAGAGACCATACAGACTACAAGTGAGCTTCCAAATCTGTATGGAACAAGGATCTCCTGCAGCATGGACAGCTCATAAACCAGGATCTGTTTTGGTTTGGCCCATACTCTGTTTGGCCCACAGGCACCTCTACTATTCTGCACGTGCCAGGATCTGTGTCTGCTTCCAAAAAAAGCAGATCCTTCTAAACAGCCTCTGTGCTTACCAATATGATCTACTGAGAGCAGGTACAGTGAGGTCTGCCAGGTCTGTTCAATCTCCTGCAACTTATGAATGGTGAAAACATCACGTGTGTTCTCTGGACAAAAGACTCTCACATCAACTGCTTATTGAAGCAATAAGGACAACTGACCTCTACCTTGAAAAGCTCTTCAGCTGCTTTCTTGTCCTCAGCTCGCAAAAAAGGGTATCAAAAGGAGTAGGCTCACAGCCACACCATAGCATACACAGGGGTATTTAAAAACAACATTTGTGAACACAAGAATGTTTCCATTTTCTGGACTGCTATACTACTTTTGAGCTGGTGATGTAAAGCCATCATTAACAATCTACCTGACATAACAAGAGTGAATGGCCTAGAAAACCAGTAGCTTCAACCATCCCTAATTCCAAGAATCCAGGCATGGCTGGTAGCAGCTCTTTCTCATTCAGAGCTCTCACAGGTGCAGTCTGTTGTGCTGCAAAGACAAATGTGAAGTGCTGCTTCCTCTTTGGTCTCTGTGAGTCCACCAAGAAAAGAAGACCTTTTCTGGCACTTAATAAGTCTGTATTTTTTAAATGTGACTAAATTTCAAGTAAGCACCCTGTACCTACCAATGGGAAAGTTTTAACTGGGTTTAGCAGTTATTCCTTTAGGAGATCTGCCTCAAGGTAGATAAACGCAACATCCATACCGTGGGATCCAGAGCACATCCCATCTATGTCCTGACTGTGTATCAGGATGAGACCAGGGACCCACGTTTGCACTCTGGTTTCCAAAGAAAGGAAATCTCGGCATGTCAGGAGCAGGGAGGTCCCCTGTGCTCCCACAGGACCTCCTCACTGTACAGGATCAGGACTCCAAGGCACAGTGTGGCACATGCCTGTGGTCTACACTGAGCTACACCAATGACACAGGCCAAAGCCTCACAGAGAGAACAAAATATGAAATGTCAGCTGAAATAAAGAAGTCTTTCTAGTTGCCCATAATTTCATTCCCAGTGTTGCCACTGCACAACTAAAAATATCAATAAGAGCGCTGGAGTTTCACCACCAGGTTCTCACAGCAGACAGCTCTGACATTGCCTTAACCTTGAAACCAGGACTGGGTGAGGCTGAATCCTCTCCAACAACTGCTTGCCCAATTCTGTTAAACCAAGCCAGCAGACTCATAGGATAAACACCCAAATGAGCAAGTCACGTAAAACAGTCATTATTTACAACCAGCCATTGCAAAGCCTCTGTATCTTGAGCAACACTCACAATTCCTGCACCATTTTCAGTTTCAGTTTCCTAAAAAAGCCTGAAACTCTGAACACCATAAATGGCAGCAATGACAGATTTCACACTGTGGTTGTTAAACTTATCCATTGATAAGCAGCAAAACTCCCTAAACAGCAATAAAATGAAATCTCCAAGAAAGAACTTATATGGATAATCAGCAAAAAGTCTGTTCCCAGATTGACGTCCAACCAGCAAAGGCTGTGGAGCCAAACTCGGCATTGTGAGCAACAGGTTTGTAGATACTCTGATCCAGACGGGAGGTCTGGTGCAAAGCAGGACTAACCTATATCAGCAGAGAATTTGCTGATAAGAAGCAGCCACGCTGTACAGCTTTACAGATAGAACTTTCCAGCTGGTCTCCTCTGCACCAAATTTGCTTCCCTTTTAAAAACACTTTAAAAAAGGGATTTTAAAAATATTTTCCATGGCACAGATCTCAAAGCAAAAGAGGGATTTTGAGGAACCATCACATACAATAAAACTGGACAGAACACTTATAGGACCATCCCGTACGGCAGTGCCATTCCCCTCTGTGTGGGTCAGGACTGGCACACCAACAGTGACATAGGGGCATTCGCTCTCCTGAAATTTGCATTTATCTGTACTTACCTATATTTATATCCAAGCGTGAATACATTTTTGAAGAAAGAAAAGGAATGAAATACATGGTTTATATTAGTACCCGCTAATCACATAAAAAGCCTCTAGAAATGTAAAAGTGAGACAAGCGACAGTCGCTGGTTTTGCCCCACACTGGGGTTCAGTGCCCTGTCCCTACAGTGGCCTGTGCCCATCAGGGTCACGCCAGCGATCAGCACAGGGATTCCCCGCCCGGGAACCCACTCGCGGGGGAACCCTTGGGAAGGTCCCTCGGCCTCGCACAGACCACCCCCAGCCGTGGCGGGCCGGGTGGTGCAGGGGGTCCCCGCAGCCGCCACGGAGGAGCTGTCCTGTCCTGTCCTGTGCCGTCCTGCCCTGTCCTGTCCTGTGTTTTCCCGTCCCGTTCCGCCGGGCCCGAGCAGCCGCGGCTCCGCCATGGCCGGAACACAAACAAACACCGCGCTCGGGGGCGGGGCGAAACGGCTCCCACCATTTTGGGGCCGGGGGAGCCCAGGGGGCAGCGGGGTCCCCCTACCGCGTCCCGTCCCGCCTCGTCCCGCCGGGGGCGGGCAGGGCTGTCCCCGCCGCGGGGCCGGGCGGGGGGCGCGGAGCGGAGCGGGGGCCCCGCGGCTGCTCCCGGGGCTCGGCGGGGAGGGGTGAGAGGAGGAGCCAGGGCGGCCCGTGCGACAAAGCCCAGTGCGCAGGGAGCTGGTGACCGGGAAGCAGAACCGCGCCGAGCTGTCGCGGGGCGGGCGGACCCTCTGGAGCCCGCTGCCCCACGGGGGGTGGGAGGCCCGTCCTGCCGCCCCCCCGGCTCGGGGGTCGGGGCGGCTGCGGAGCGGAGCGGGAGGCGGCCGGGCGGTGCTGCTAAGCCGCTTAGGGCCGGGGCTGGCATGAGCCTCCCCGGCGGGGCGGCTGCGGGCTGCGCGCTGCGGCGGGGAGGCTGAGGGCGCGGATCCGCCGCCGCCGGCGCGGGAGGAGGCGGAGGGGGGGCCGCGCTCCCCGGGGGAAGATGGGGAACTGCCTCAAGTCCCCCACCTCGGATGACATCTCGCTGCTCCACGAGTCCCAGTCGGACCGAGCCAGCTACGGGGACGGGGCTGAGCCGGATCAGGAGCCGCCGCCGCCATATCAGGTAGGGCAGGGAGCGGGGCAGGGGTGCCGGGGCACGGCGGGGGGCGCGGGGGCCGCTCTGCCCCGGCGGGGGCCGGACCGCGGCGCGGCGGGGCCGTCGCCTCCCCGCCGCCTCCCCTCCAGCGCTGGGCGGCCCGAACCTCTCCCTTTCCGCCCGCACGTAGCGCGGGGGAAGCCGCTTTGTCTCGGCCGCTCCGGCCGCTCCGGGCAGGCGGGAGGCGCAGGGCAGGGGCCGCCCGGCCGGGGCCGCGTCCTTTGTTGCCGCCGGCGGTGACATCACCGTCTGGCGCGGGGGACGCCCCGGGACGGGACCGCGGGCCCTGCCCGGGCTTTGTCCGGGCCCGCCCGCTCCGCTCCCATATTTTTAGCTGCATCAGATCCCCAGTAACTCACTCCCCCAGCGCCGGCGATCTTGTTTCCCTCTGTCCTATGGGGCACCGGCGGGGAAGTGTTTCCCATTGTTCGGTTTTTGGTGTTGTTTTTTTTTTTTTGTCTCAGAGAGAATCTGTTAATTTACATCTTGGTGGCGAATCAGGGAGAAAGAAGAGAAAGGCCGGGTATTTGCTTTGATGGCTTTGCTGACAGCGGAGGGTAACACTGATGTGGAGGGGGGATGGCGTTCGTGTGAAAGCGCCTGGAAGGGATGGACACGGAGAGGGAACCTGAACTTGGGATTGTGCTTGTCTGCTCCCTGTGATCTCCACCTACAGAAATGTGTATTGACCCGAACAAGCCGTCTACAGCACTGAGAAATGAAAATCATCCCGTGAATAACTGCACATTCTGTTCGAGTTTTGAAAGTATTTTCCTGTGTGGGATAATAGCACACATTCCAGAGAAATCCATAGAAACGACAGTCAAGACGCAAATTCTAGGGGGATGACTTGGGAGCTGTACGTTTTCTAGGATGGGAGTCACTCCGTAGTTGCAGACCCTGATGTATAATTAACAAAATTGCAGGAAGTATTTAGCCGGACAGACGTGACTCTTTAGCAAGTTCAAGAATTACACCCTGATAGGAGCCCTGTAAGTGTTGAAGAGAAGCCCGACTTGTAGCAGCCTTTCCCGATACCCTGAAGCTGCCCTGGTGTTTCTTGGCAGCGTGTCCCTATTTGTTTTGTGCTGAATATTAGAATAAATTCTGTGATGTGAGGAATTTTTTGTCTCTCTTCTGAACTGCTTCTGCTGAAGTCTAGTAAATAAAAAGTGCTTGCTGGCAGATAGAAGTTTTTTTGAAGCTTGTGTTGTTCTAAATTAAGCCTGAATTGTCCATGAGGTTTAGGACTGCATTGAATTTTTGTCAAATCAGCATAAAAGTTTGTGCAATTTATTGCATTTATATCCGTGATTCTAGGAAGACTTTTGGAGTTGTTTTTTTTCTTCCCTTTGAAAGCAATCTGTTAGCTCTTGTAAGAGTCACAAATCAAGCATATGCCTTATGCAGGCCTTCTTTTGTGGATGTCAGTGTAGGTAATGACACTTCCTCTGTCATCAGAGGTTTTCAAAATTTTCTCTTGATGAAGAACTTGTTCACAAGTGTGGATGGTTGACTGACAACACGATAGAGAGTAAAATAAATGAACCTACAGGTGTCTACTATCGAGTAAGTGTATTCATAGCAAAACTTCCCTCACTTGAATAGAGCTGTGTGGCATCAGGTGATGTGCCCACAGGCACTTGGCTGTCTCAGACATCACTGGCTGTCCTGAAAGCTCCTCCACTGATCCTGGCAGTTCCTAAAGCTTCACCTTAAGGTAGCATTTCGTGTCTCACAGTCA